AAGAGAGAGGGAGACATAGAATCTGAAGCAGCTCCAGTCTCTGAACTAGCTGTCAGCATGAGCCCAACGTGGGGCTCAAACCCATGAACAGTGAGATCATGACCTGAGCCGAAGTCGGCCGCTCAACCGACTGAGCCACCCAGGCGCCCCTATAGAGTTTCATTCTTAACTTTGTTTTGCCAGAGAGGAAGCCTGTCAGGGTGAAAGCAAGGAAGAGGATGAGTAAGCCACTTTAATTCATATTTCTGGAGAGTTAGAGGTGACGTGTCATCTGTTCTTAAAATGTTTGGTCTGTGGTGTTTCATGTAGGAGAAAAACCTTAGGATAGCAACATGGGCTCAGGGTCCCACACAAGGGACAGGTGTATGAGGAAAACACATGATACAGCCTGGTAGGAACTTTGAAAAGAACGTGCCCAGTGACAAGGGGCAGCCTGTGACAGCATCAGCCAGTTATCCCCACTCAGGAGAGCTAACCCAGGGGCCACAGTTATTAACTTTCCGAAAGAAAAAGGGAATACGGAGTTTTATGTGAACCTTCTCACCTTTTAAATATTAGCAGCAGATTCCTCTTTCCCCCTAAGATCGCCAGAGAAACAGACAGTAAAGTGAACTGTTTTAGGCCTGTGGACTCTGTGGTGAGGGTCAAAGAGCGGAAAGAAAAATGTGTAGCCCAGGGGTTAGGCCGTTCAGCTGAACACATGGTCACCTCCAGTTCCAGGCACGGTCCCTGGCCCGGAAGCATGTGCTCAGTATGTTTTTATTGAGGAAATCAATGGAGCAAACCTCTGCTTGTTGTCAGACTTTGTGTGTGCAGAATGGAGAGGTGGAGCGGGCCTCCCCTTAGCTCTGAGTTAGAAGACAGAGGATCGAGTCAGAACTTAGGCTGCCGTCCTTGTGGGGCCCTCCCTACCCTGTTCACTTCCCTTCCATGCCCTCTCCAAGCACCTAGGGTGCCTAGCTATTCAAGCTCCTACATTTAAGAAGGTTTAAGAAATAAAAGGAAAGTTTATATTGTTCTGCTTCAGTACAGGACCAACTGAGTTTAGCTTGTTTTTCTTTCCTGTATCATGGTTAGTACATTTTTGTTTAATTTTGACAGACTCAACCGGATAATAAGTGATCTAGATTATGCATTAAATTACAGCAAGGTTCTCAGAGTCTTAAAAGTACATAAAAATGTTTTCCTGGAAAATCAGTCGTTTTCCCCTATAAAGGTTGATATTGCTCATGTCAGTGTGGGCTTGTCTCTGTTTAAAGGTAATGAGGGGTGCCTGGGTGGCTCAGTCAGTTAAGTGTCTGACTCTTGCTTTCCGCTCAGATCATGATATCATGGTTCATGAGTTCCAAGCTCTGCATCAGGCTCTGCTTGGGATTCTCTCTTTACCCCTTCTTTCTCTGCCCCTCCCTTGTTCATGTGTATGCTCTCTCTCTTTCTCTCTCTCCTCTCTCTCTCTCTCTCTCTCAATAAAGAAATAAACTTTAAAAAAAAAGGTAATGAGAGGATTCTTCTAAACCCTTAGTGTTATCTGCCCTCTAAAAAACGTTTTACTATCTTGAACAAGATTATTTTTGGTACACTTATCACGAGTCACTTTAAAAACTGAAGCTCAGGGGCCACCTGGGTGGCTCAGTTGGTTAAGCATCCGACTTCAGCTCAGGTCATGATCTCACTGTTGGTGGGTTCGAGCCCCGCGTCGGGCTCTGTGCTGACAGCTCAGAGCCTGGAGCCTGTTTCTGATTCTGTGTCTCCCTCTCTCTCTGACCCTCCCTTGCTCACGCTGTCTCTCTCTCGCTCTCTCTCAGAAATAAATAAAAAAACATGAAAAAAACAAACAAACAAAAAAAACTTAGCTCAGAAGAGGGGAGCCATTTACTGTACAGCTCCAGGGGATTCTTAAACACTTAGGGAAGGAAACGCTTTGGGCCTCTGGTAGACTATACCTGGGACAGGGAAGTCCTAGAACCCCTTCCCCCCACCCCCCTGAACAGCAGCTTTTTCTCTTTCTCTCCTCTGGGACTGTGGGATTTTTGGGTCAGATTCGCTCTGAGCAGCACTTTTATTCTTTTTGCTGACTGGCTTTTTCCTATAGACTGAGAGTACATGGGGGTAGCTTGCAGCTGAGACCAGAGGAGACCCTCTTCATTCTAAACTCTAGGTCCAAGGAGGACAAATGGCATGTCTCAGTTTGGGTCACGTGTCCAACTTTGGCCAAAATAGAGGAGTTTGGAGTAGCATAATTCAAACATGGCTGACGTGGGGTTGAGCATTACGTAGTACTTAGATAAAAGGGTCATCAGGGGCACCTAAGTGGCTCAGTTGGTTAAGTGTCTGACTTCAGCTCAGGTCATGATCTCACGGTTCGTGGGTTCAAGCCCCTTGTTGGACTCTGCTGACAGCCAGTTCAGAGCCTGGAGCCTGTTTCAGATTCTGTATCTCCCTCTCTCTCTGACCCTCCCCTGCTCATGCTGTCTCTCTCTCAGAAATAAATAAAACATTAAAAAAAAGAAGAAGAAGAAAAAAAGGGTCACCATAGGCTAGGCAGCTCCTCTAAAAGACAGGTATCTGCTACAATCTTGCACTCCCCACCGACCCCCCCCCCCAAAAGTAATAAATTTATGCTTCTCAGGACTCTAGAGAAATTCAAGTTATGTCTTTTTCACTTCCTACTCTCCCAACTTTAACTGGCTGTCATTTAAAAGAAAAATTGGGGCGGTTGGGTGGCTCTTTCTGCTATCTCCCGACTTTGGCTCAGATCATGATCTCATGGTTCATGAATTTGAGCCCCACATCAAGCTTTGCACTGACAGTGCAGAGCCTGCTTGGGATTCTCTCTCTCCTTCTCTCTTTGCCCCCCCCCCCCATAAATAAACTTAGAAAAAATAAAAAGAAAAACATCTTATTAAAAATTATATTTATTGAATGTTACATAGCAAGTGGTGAATGAATGAAAGCTGTCAAGTTCTATATTTCTATTCTTAGCAAATACTTTCCAGTCTACCTTTTCAACAATTTCTCTTTGTCTTTGCAAAACAAAATTAAGTTGCTGTTTACGCAGATTGGTACACTGGCAGGGGAACTAAAGAACACCAAAGGCCTCCATTCTAGTTCCAAGTCCAAACCATTTATTTGCTGGGTAATCTTGAGCAAATTATGACCTCTCTCTTTCTGTTTCTTTGCTAGTAAAATGGAGATCATAACAACAGCTCTTTTGAGCACAGTGATCTTGTAAAGAAAAAAAAGGAGGACATATACAAACATAGAATAGTTTTCTTTCTACCCCCTATTCCAAAAGAAGTTACTATTTTTAAATGCTTATTTTTAGTATCTGCCACTACCTTTTTTTTTTTTTTTCTTGTAGAGTCTTCCTGAAAGCATTTTTAAGGTATGCAGGCTAATAAGTGGTGAATCCTTTTAAAGGTAGACACTGTCTTGGGGGTGATTTCATAAATACCCCAAATCTGATGACTTTCTTGGATACTTTGGAGATCTGGCTGGAGTGTCCTGACAAAAAATGGGAAGCTAGCTTGACCTAATGAATCCTGTCAAGCACAGAGTTTACTTTCTGATGCTGGTGCTTGCTGTTCCACCTTCACCTCCATTCCGCTCTGAAGGAATCACGGTCAGCAGGCTGAGTGGTTTTCTCTAACATAACATCTTTTTTGGCTATCTTTGTCCTGGTAATTTGTAGCTTCCTTTGAGTGATTTTGCATAGCTGTAAAGAGTTTAGGATGCAAAGAAATGAGTTTTGGTTCAGGACAGACATGGTAGGGAAGATAGTGGCTTTTATTGGAAATAAGGCAGAAAAAGAACACAAAAGTGGAAATTAGAGAAAAATATTAAAAGATAGACTAGGAAGGAATTAGGAATCGAGGGAAGAGAACATCTGGCTCCTAAAGATTGTAGGAATGATTACTGAATGATTACATTACTGGATAACATTTTGTGGGTGCATGAAACAAACTATTTTAAAAAGGAAGGGGAAAAGGATATGATCCAGGAATAACTGAAAAGGCAATAAGGATAATTATGAATAAATGTTCAAAACATGGCATAGAATTTCGGCCGCTGACTTTTCAAATATGCTTTATCAGTGTCTCAGACTATCTTAGATTATATGAAAGTAAATAAAAGTTAAGCAAAGCAACCTTCTTGCCACCCAGCTTTGGTATGTAGCTCGTGAGGATTATAGGAAGACAAGTGTGTTAATAGTGAACTTTTCATATGAAATTAGCCTGCCTTGTGCTTTATACTATGACAGCATCTATTCCTAGCCATGTCATTACCTGTATTTGCAGTTCTGTCTCTTCTGCAGCATGTCAAACTTGAAAACCAGCTTAATTTCTAATTTTAGTTTGTTAACCTCCAATCCCTTGACTCCTTAACTCCTGCTACTCTCCATATTAATTTTAATAGTAGCCACATTCTACCTGAAAATATGTAGATGATGGAGTACACAATTCCTTTGTGCTTTTTAGGAAGATGGCTTAATTGAGGTTTTGTTTTCTGTTTGTAGTATTATGAATTGTTTATATAAATTGGTGAATGATGAAGGACACAGTGAGCTCTCTAAATAATAATCTCATTCATTGTGTGTGTGTGTGTGTGTGTGTGTGTGTGTGTGTTTTAATTTTCTGATACAGACAGATTTCGTAGGAGTAGGCTTTCTGAATAACCATTTCAAAAATTAAGTGAAAAGTCATTAGTGGCAAATTACACACAATGATTTTAAGCCCCAGGAGGCTAACTCTGTATACACATTGAATAGTCATTTGTTCTTAGTTTATTATAAATATAGCCAATTAAATTCACTGTAAATAATTTAAAAAAACACACCCTGAATTGGATTTGTTGTAAAATTGGTAAAGTGCCTTGAATTTTAACACTTTGACATTTCAAAGCACATATAATAATTTTGGAACATCTGGCAGCTAATGAGATTGTAGATTTCTGATTAGCTTTATTCATTGTTTCATCCTTTTCCCCCTTTCTCTTTGTAGATCTGAACCACATTAAGAAGAAAGAGTTCCACAATCACAGCAGATGAAGACCCACTGGTAAATCTATCAGGAATCTTGGCCTGCCTGCCAAAGAAAAGGTAACTGGCTGTCTCCGTATAGCTCAACTGAATAAATGCTGTGCTTCTGATTTAATAGAGTTTGATGGTTTTTAAAGGATGATGGTTTTTAAAGTTCAGGGTATCTGAGTAAGATCTCCAGTATAACCCTGAATATGATCTTACTAATATGAAATGACAATGAATTTAAGAGTACAGTATTATTAGGTGTGTGTTTGTGAAAAGAAAAAAAGTGCTAATAACCATCCCAAACCTATAGGAGAACTCTGGAGATGGGAACATTTCCTGCCCCCCATCCATATCTACTTTTTCCTAAGAATTTGTCCAAAGACGCGCTCTCGTGTTTTTGTCCAGTTCTACTTTCCTTAACTTCTCTTTTCTTTTCTCTAAAAACAATACAGACCCAGCTGCTCAGAGCAGGGAAGGTCCAAAGCAAAGTGTAAAATAGGCAGGAGTTCTTCAGGCACACGTTCTGGGCCCAGGGCCATTGCCCAGACTGAGGTGTGTCTCCACGAGCAGTCCAAGATGAGTACAAAAATAACAGCCACGATTAATGGAGTTTCCCATTACGTATTTGCCATTTTGCGTTTACTATTTGGGGAAGAAGGTGGTAAGTTTCGTTTCATATAATGTGAAAAAGGGAAAATTCCTGGAGGAAAATTTGTTTTTAAGTTTATTTATTTATTTTGAGAGAGAGAGAGAGAGAACTAGCATGAGTGGCGGAGAGGCAGAAAGAGAGGGAGAGAGAATCCCAGGCAGGCTCTGTGCTGTCATCACAGAACTGGACACGGGGCTTGAACTCACAAACTGGAAGATCATGAGCTGAGCCAAAATAGAGTCAGACACTTAACTGACTAAGCCACCCAGGCAGCTGTGGAGGAATTTTTATTAAAACAGCAGCAACAACAACAAATTCATCTTCCTATCAACTCCTGAAAGGAATGAGGGGGCTTAAGATGCAGTTTAAGATGAGTCATTTAGGGATAAAACTGAACATAATCCCAACAGGGAATATCAGAGTTTCAGCTTCTGAAATTGATCAGCTTGTATATTTAGGCAACAAATGCAGTGCTTCAGTCAGGTGTAGGCAAATGTAGCAAAGATGGAAATGTAAACAAAATGAACATTTATCTCCAAAGATTTTGAACATTACAAACAGAAACAGGAATTTCAGGAAGGATATAGCATTTTTAAAAATGTTTATTTATTTTGAGAGAGAGAGGGAGAGAGAGGGAGAGAAAGAGCCCAAGCAGGCTTCACATTCATTACAGAGCCTGATGCAGGGCTTGATCCCATGAACTGTGAGATCATGGCAGATGCTTAGCCAACTGAGCCACCCAGGCACCCTAGGATGTAGCAGTTTTGTTTAGATGCTTAGAACAAGTGACTGGGCTTTTCTGAAGTCTCAGCCTTCAAAATGGACCTTTAAATTTTTCTGACCTAAAGCTGAAAATCCAGAGTTATCACAAAGGATGGTATTCATAGTGGAGTGTCTATGAAGTGCCAGAGGAGAGAGGAGCAGGGTTTTCCGAGATGGTAGTGAGCAACTGGCGGTGGTGGGATGTGGGGGTTTGGGAAGAGGTAGAGAGAAAACACATTTGGCCAAAATGCCAAAGGAGCTCTTTTGTCTGTAATTGTTCATCGAGCTCCCCACTCTGAGCAGAGGAATTGTGCTTGAGGAGGAAAAGAGAATAGGAAGTGGTTTTCACAGCCTACAAGTATGACTGACCCTTTTTTGAATAGTGTTCAGATGAAAAGACTAATATGATACCAGGAAGTCAATGACAAGGGGCAGGGAAGGAAGAAGTATAGCAAACTCAAGTCTGCAGGAAGAAGTGTGACAAAGTCAAATCCAGGCAGGTAGAAGAATGAGATGGACCAGGTAGAACTGTGAGAAACTGTCAAATTCATGACTAATCTAAAAGGTCCTTCCCTTTGCCATGTCAGCTGAATATAGGCCTAATACCTATTCACCAAATGTTTCACCTACCTCTGACATGCTGTGTTCTGGGCATTGGGCATCAGAGGGACAAAAATCTCTGCCACTATGGCACTTCCTTTTTAATGGAAATAGATAAAATCTAAAACATAAATATATTATACTAGAGGGTGATAATTGGTTAGAAAAAGCAGCTTAGGATAATAAGAATCAGGTGTGCTGATCACGGCTGGTGCTGCATTGTCAAATAAGGGTGGTCAGGGTAGACTTTTTTTCTTTTTGATATTTGATAGTTTTGACAGAGAGACAGAGTGTGAGCAGGGGAGGGGCGGAGAGAGAGGGAGACACAGAATCTGAAGCAGGCTCCAGGGTCTGAGCCATCACCACAGAGCCCGACCTGGGGCTGGGACTCGAACTCAACGAGTCATGAGAACATGCCCTGAGCCGAAGTCGGACACTCAACAGACTGAGCCACCCAGGCGCCCCAAGGGTAGACTTTTGAGAAGGTGAGATCTGTGCTTTGGATACAGGAGTGAACATCCAGCACAGAGGCCTAAAGCCAGAGCCTGCCTGGGCTGCCCAAGTAAGACCTGAGCTCTGTCCAAGTCCAGAGCTGATTGAGCTCAGGAGAAGCAGATGGAGTTAGAGTCAGCCAGTTACAAGGCCAGTGTGTACATCCTTAGAGGCCATCCGTCAGGCCTCGGCTCGTATTCTGGGAGGAATGGCTGGCCACTGGAAGGTTCTGAGGAGAGTAGTGACTTGATCGAATTTCTGTTTTAATAAAACTTCTGTGGTCATTATATTGAGATAGGCTGTCGAGGGTAAGTTAAGCTGTGGTTCTTGCAGTAAGCTGGGCACATCTTTAAGGGAACTGAACTCTTTTTTTTTTTTTTTTAAATATTTATTTCTAGGAGAGAGAGACAGAGACAGCATGAGCAGGGGAGGGTCAGAGAGAGAGGGAGTCACAGACTCTGAAACAGGCTCCAGGCTCTGAGCTGGCAGTCAGCACAGAGCCCGACGCAGGGCTCGAACCCACGAACCGCGAGATCATGACCCAAGCGAAAGTCGGACGCTTAACCGACTAAGCCACCCAGGCGCCCCAAAGGGAACTGAACTCTTGACTTCACTGATTTTTCTTGAGTTTTTCAATGTTAGCAACTAATTTAAGTAAACAGTTTGAGTCAACCTAAATAAGTCTGTGGGATTCTGCTATGGGATGACAGCTGGGAGAAGGAATTCAGAGAAAGGTACAGACTTTGGGCCAGGCTAAATTGGGGAAGGTAAGGATTGATTTAAACTAACATGAAAGCTTGACTTTGATTAGCATGTAAAGCTGAAGGAAGGGAAAGATAATGGCATGCAATTATTCATGATAGCCAAAAGGTAGAAACAACCCAAATGTCCATCACTGACGAAGGCATAGACAAATGGTGGTATATCCACACAGTGAGGTATTATGTAGCCATAAAGAGGAATCAATTATAGATACGTGACCCTGGAAAACATTATGCTGAGAGAAGCCACACATAAAGGCCACATATTGTAAGGTTTTAATTACGTGAAATATCCAATATAGGCAAATCTATTGAGACAGAAAACAGATGTGATGGTTCGGGGCTACGGGAGGGAGGGAAGATGGGGAGTGGCCGCTTAATGGGAACAGGGTTTCTGTTTCAGGTGGTGAAAATGTTCGGGAACCACATAGTAATGATGGTTGTACTGGGTTGGTTGTACTAAACGCAACTAAGTTATACACTTTAAAAGGCTTACAATTGTGTATTTTATGTTATGTGAATTTTACCTCCGTTAATAAAAAAGAATGGCATGCAGAAAATCATTTAAGGGATGTATATTTTAGGTCCTGTTTAGCTCAAGTGGAGTTTTTGTTAGGGGAACTGAGAGGTGATAAAGCTGGAGAAAGGATTTTGGGTCAGATAATGAAAGGTGTGGCCTGCTAAGCCAAGGAATTTAGAGTCTCATCTGCTGGCGGATGTGAAATATAGCAGTGTCTACTCCCTGAGTAAGAACTAGACTGAAGAGAGGTTGGTGCTTTGGGAATCCCAGCTTCTGGGTTTCAAAGCAAAATAAATGGCCTCTGGTCTTAATCAATCTGTGATTTTGCTGTTCTCCTAAAGGAATTTCGTGACAGTCATTACAGAGGTCTCAAACAAAATTAATGTAGAGCTTCTCCTTTAAAAGATATCTGTATTGGGGGCGCCTGGGTGGCCCAGTCTGTTAAGCATCCAACTTCAGCATAGGTCATGATCTTACACTTTGTGAGTTCAAGCCCCACATTGGGCTCTGTGCTGACAGCTCAGAGCCTGGAGCCTACTTTGGATTCTGTGACTCACTCTCTCTCTTTGCCCCTCTCCTGCTCATGCTCTGTCTCTGTCTCTCAAAAAATAGATAAACATTAAAAACATTTTTTTTTAGTTAAAAAATATCCCTATTTCAGTTCCTGGTTATAAAAGGTTGTTGTTAAAAAAAAATTGAGGTAATTATTTGAGGAGATGGGATGTGTCAACTAATTTTACGGTAATTATTTTGCAATGCATATCAAAACACATGCATGTCTTTAAAAAAATTTTTTTTTAATGTTTATTTTTGAGAGAAAGGGAGAAAGGGGAGGTGGGGTAGAGAGAGAGGAGGGTAGAGAGAGAGGGAAGCACAGAATCTGAAGCAGGCTCTAGGCTCTGAGCTGTCAGCACAGAGACCAATGAGGGGACCAAACCCATAACTGAGAGATGATAACCTGAGCCAAAGTCAGACACTTAACTGACTCACCCAGGCACCCCCAAATATTTGCATATCTTAAACTTAATGTTTATGACATATTATGTCATAATTACAACATATTATACATAATGTTATATGTCACTTATGTTCCAATAAGGCTGGAAAAAATTGAAACATTATTCAAATTGTATGTTAATAAAAAGTCCCTTTAATTACATTCTTTCACTTCCTGTTCTCCCTAAGTCTGGAGTTACCTAGACTGTTTTCTATTCATAGATTTGTCATCATCATTATTACTGTTTCACAAAAATGGGCACATAGTATATAGTATTTTGCATGTTGCTTT